CAGGTGCATTCCACTGGGCAACAGGTTCGTATCTCCCTGGGCCAGAGCTCCTAGAAGAAGTGGCAGGCTGCCATCTTTACTGTTCTGCAGCCTTCATTGGTGATACCTTCAGTTACTGAAAAATCCAAGGCAACTAGGGACTGGAGTACACCCCCTGCAAACCACAGCATCCCTATGGTAAAGTGGCTGAATTGTGCCAGGAAAAAAAAGAAAAAAAAAAATCCAAAGGTAAGCAACATCGAACATTGAAGGTAGATTAGATAAGCTCACAGAAATGAGAAAGAATCAGAGCAAGAATGCTGAAACCTCAAAAAGCCTGAGTGCCCTCTTTCCTCCAACTGACCTCATTACCTCTCCAGTAAGGGTTCAGAATAGCCAGTATAGAGAAGAACTTAATCCTCCTGATAGTGCTGAAAAACACACTACAAGAATTTCATAATAAAATCACAAGTATTAATAGTAGAATAGACCAAACAGAGGAAAGAATTTCAGAGCTTGAAGACTGACTTTATGAAATATGGCGGGCAGACAGGAGTAGAGAAAAAGGAATGAGAAGGAATGAACACAACCTCCAAGAAATATGGAATACCATATCACACCAGTCAGAATGGCTATAATTAAAAAGTCAAAAAATAACATGCTGGCAAGGTCGTGAAGAAAAGGGAATGCTTATACACTGTTGGTGGGAATGTAAATCAGTTCAGCCATTGTGGAAGATGGTACGGCAATTTCTCAAAGACCTGAAGACAGATATACCATTCGACTCAGCAGTCCCATTACTGGGCATATACCCAAAGGAATATAAATCATTCCGTTTTGAAGACACATGCACGTGTATGCTCATTGCAGCACTATTCACAATGGCAAAGACATGGAATCAACCTAAATGACCATCAATAACAGACTGGATAAAGAAAATGTGGTACATATACACCATGGAACACTATGCAACCATATAAAAGAATGAGATCAATGAGATCATGTCCTTTGCAGGGACATGGATGGAGCTGGAGGCCATTATCCTTAGCAAACTAATACAGGAACGGAAAACCAAATACCACATGTTCTCACTTATAAGTGGCAGCTAAATGATGAGAACACATGGACACACACAGGGGAACAATACACACAGGGGCCTTTTAGAGGATGGATGGTAGGAAGAGGGAGAGGATCAAAAAACAACTAATGGATACTAGGTTTCGGCCGGCCGCGGTGGCTCAAGCCTGTAATCCCAGCACTTTGGGAGGCCGAGACGGGCGGATCACGAGGTCAGGAGATCGAGACCATCCTGGCTAACACGGTGAAACCCCCTCTCTACTAAAAAATACAAAAAACTAGCCGGGCGAGGTGGCGGGCGCCTGTAGTCCCAGCTACTCAAGAGGCTGAGGCAGGAGAATGGCGTAAACCCGGGAGGCGGAGCTTGCAGTGAGCTGAGATCCGGCCACTGCACTCTAGCCTGGGCAGCAGAGCGAGACTCCGTCTCAAATAAATAAATAAATAAATAAATAACTTCACCTAAAAAAAAGAACTTAGACAATGTCATGTTTTGTACTAGAAAATATTGCAATTCAGTCTTATAATCCTGGCTTTTCTCTTTTGATTTTCCACATTCATAAAATATTTGAAGAAATTTGTTTATGTGCATCTTGACATATGTGATATATGATTTGTTTCTTTTTTTTATTCTGAGACAGAGTCTTGCTCTGTTGCCCAGGCTGGAGTGCAGTGGTGTGATCTCGGCTCACTGCAAGTTCCGCCTCCTGGGTTCAAGCGATTCTCCTGCTTCAGCCTCCCAAGTAGCTGAGATTACAGGCATGTGCCAACAAACCCAGCTAATTTTTTTTTTTTTTTTTTTTTTTGTATTTTTAGTAGGGATGGGGTTTCACAATGTTGGCCAGGCTGGTCTCGGACTACTGACCTCGCGAACTACCCGCCTTGGCCTCCTGAAGTGCTGGGATTACAAGCGTGAGCCACCGTGCCCAGCTGTGATTTCTTATTTGCATCTGGACATATGTGACATGTGAATAATAAACAATTATTGTGACTTTGGTCAAGTAATTCTATTCTTTGTTAAATCAAAAGATGGCCATTTAAGTTTCTTTCCAACACCATGTATCTGTAATTCTTACTCTGAGCCATTCTTCTGACTGGGCATGAATGAAGAGTATTTTAGAAAGCAACAGTAATTGGCAGTCATACAGATCTATACCGGATGCATTAATAAAATGTACTAAGCTCGATGAATAACTGTGACCTCTATAGGAGTCAACTTTTTAAGGCTATAGTAACACATTTACATTCTGTATCAAGCATTAGGTAAAAAAAAATCAACTGGTATAACATTATCTTTCTGTGGATCTGCCAAAAATAAGTTTTATTAATAACCTAGAACAGCCACCTAACCAATATGGCTTTTTAAATATTCGTGTGTCATATAATTTGCTAAAATGTTTCAAGAAATTGGCATTCATTATGTGACATATTGTCTCATATGATATTTTTGGTGAATTGGAAGATATCATATAGAGTAGCTGCACATATTTCAACTTCTTTTTTGAAGGATGACATGGTAAAAATTAAAAACTCTATGTTTTATCAAAGAAAAAAATATGTATGAGTTATTGTCCTTTGGGTAAGGGGAAGTCAACATGAAAATAACTTAATAGGCAAATATTAATTATCCACTACATTTTCAGGAATATGTACAATGCAAATGTGAAGATAGTTATTGAAAATGTATCTTTTACACTTGAGATGTATGTATTCAGACACTTCTTCTAGATAAAACTGATAGTATATACATTTTAAAATCAGGGTAAACCCAGACATCATCATGCTTTTCACAGGAGATAAGAGTAATGAACACTTTTCTGAGAGGCAGATGAGGATTCAAAGCCCATGACTAAATCCTGCCATTGCTCCACTTCTTATCCTGTTTCTCTGGAGACATTATGTAGGCTAAGGTTGCTTTTAGTCCTAGAAGCTCTGATAGCATGGAATTGCTAGTTTGCTGGACAGAGTTAGTCCAACCTGGTGCACACGAAAATCTGAAACCTTAGGAAGTTTTTCCTAATATCAGCTAAATTATTGATTTAGGTAATCTCTACCTTCTTCTACTACATTCCTTATAAATGAAAAAAAAAAAAAAAAAGAGCACATACCAGTCTGCTTTCCCACTCCTATGTTTATAATACACACACATGCAATTACACCGTGTCTCAGGAAAATTCTACCTTAACCATCCCAGAAAATTGCATTGCTAAAAATGTTGTGAATAAATTTCAACCTTAATTCTCACTGTCAATTTCAAAGTACTGTCTAATGCAGATAGGTTTTATATTCCTTGCACATCCAATTAATTAGTTGACTGTTGAAAATACTATGTTGATTATAAGCCTGCAGTCTCAGCTCAACTGAAAAGAGTGTAAAACATACAACTGAAATCTTCTTGGCTAGGAAGGAGTAAAGGTCTTAGGTATGTCATATATTTGTGATTCTTTCTCTTATGTGTTGAGCTTTGTATGGATCCCTTAATTCTAATATAAATTCCTTTTCTTGTTGTTTGTTGATGGGAGGAAATTTGACTGAATAACCTCTTAAATTCATCTCAACTTAATGACTTCACATTTTATAATACTTTGTCTATATAGCATAACTTTTAAAATAGATACTTTTATTTCCCTAGATGAGCCAGATTCTCTTAGTGAATTCTGGAATTCAATTATGGGATCTGGGAGGGGCTCTAAATATGGAAGAATTTTTGTATACACTTATTTATCCTTCAACTATAGGAAACTATTCCTCATGCTTAGTCAGCTGAGCCAGGCAAGTTATTTTCCTTAAAATGCACATATAAATACCAGATATTATAAGATTATTATTTTTATAATTATAAGATATTAGAAAAGTACTCAGTTTTAACCTCATTATTTTATGTTATTTATTACAGGACAGCATGAAAGAAATTGGTAGCAATTGCCTGAATAATGAATTTAACTTTTTTAAAAGACATCTATGTGATGATAATAAGGTAATGATAATTATTTGGAGTTTGTCATTCAAGCTTGATTTTATAGAAGCTTATATTTTTTGTGCCTCTGTTAGACAATTATATGAATACTATTAATATTTGCAGTCTGACCACATAATTCCCATTGATTAGATCATACTATGGTCCAATTTTACAAATAGCCCTGTGCTTATTAGATAACAAGTTTTCTTTCTGTTTAATCATTCTATTTTTTTACCTTGAAAATACTAGAATTGTCAAATTCAAAGACACACCTATCTCTTATTTCTAAATTTCTTTGTTTCTTTTTTTTTTTTGGAGGCGGAGTCTCGCTCTGTTGCCAGACTGGAGTGTAGTGGGCAATCTCGGCTCACTGTAACCTCTGCCTCCTGGGTTCAAGCGATTCTCCTTCCTCAGTCTCTCGAGTAACTGGGTCTACAGGCATGCACCACCACACCCAGCTAATTTTGTATTTTTAGTGGAGACAGGGTTTCTTGATCTCCTGACCTAGTGATTAGCCTGCGTCGGCCTCCCAAAGCGCTGGGATTATAGGCGTGAGCCACCGTGCCTGGCCTCTAAAAGTTCTTATACAGAAAAATACTTGTTAATGTGATTGCTTGCACACATACAAATATAAGTCATTGGTATAATTTAGTCGGAAGCATCTTGAAAATTTTTCTGTCAGTATTTGCTTATCTCTAAATGATTACCACATCTAGTTGGTATAATATTACACTTGACAAAACCTAAAGAGTTTATGTCATTTCTCCTTACAGAAACAGGTGTGCTATTTCATAGTCTTTTAAAAACTCACAGTAGCTAAGTTAGCCTCATGGCATCTCAAAACCATAAATTCTTTTTAAAAAATATCTTAATTTAAATAACTGCAAAACTTACGTTTTAGGTGACTACAGTCCTTTATTTTCTTATTATCAGCTATACATCCATAGCTCAAAAGATGCAAGAAATAATAAGAAAAAACCACACATACCTCTTATAATATATTGTTGCTTCCAGAAGCCTTCTCCTTCAGCTATCATGTTTAAAATTGAATAATCTTGTAATATAGTCACATATAAGCGATAAGATCACATAAGCATAATAGAGAAAACAAACTTTAAAAGTCAAGATAATCATTAAACCAAGTTCCAAGAACTTCTTGCTGTCACCTAGGAGTCAAACAGTTTTAGTTCTGTTACTTGTCAGTCACATGATTAACTGGAATAGAAAGCTGGGGTGGAGGTGGGGCATTATCTACCAATATAGCTCAAGCTCTAGGCTCCTTAAGCTTATCATTTATTAATATTTTATTTGAACCATGGCCCTTCTGACTTTTTCTTATAATAGGAAGGTATGTTTTTATTCCGTGCTGCTCGCAAGTTGAGGCAATTTCTTAAAATGAATAGCACTGGTGATTTTGATCTCCACTTATTAAAAGTTTCAGAAGGCACAACAATACTATTGAACTGCACCGGCAAGGTAAGCTAAGGACTATTTACTTTGAATGAAAATATTAACTACTCCTGTGCCAAGATACCACTATTCTCTGGTGATCATATCCATTATCATAGAATCCTAAGTGTTTATTATCATCTAAAGTTGAAGTATATTTACTCAATCCTAGAAGAGGAAAGGCTCGGTTTGGAAATACTTGTTTATATCCTGGCTAGAGTGAATTGTTTGTGAAAGGGGAGTAAAAAATAAATAAATAAATGCTTCATTGCCATAATAACTTCCAAGGATACTAGGGTGATATATTGGGTGGAGAATGGTAAATTTCTATATCTAAAACTCATTAAAAGCTTTAATCCATATATGTACACATTTATAAGAACTCCTAGTGAATAAAACAGGAAATCAAATGTATTTAACAAATATCTTTTTACGCTTAAACTAGACATATATATGTCCAACAATTTCCCCTTCTTTAAATAATTTTGATACAAATAGGGCTAATATTTTCCCACATTTCTACTAGTGGTTATGAACTAAAACAACAAAACCAAATATGAAAGACATCATTTAGAGACTGGACAGCAGTTTCCTTATCTATGAAATGCAGAAAAACATAGTATCTGTATTGTAGGATTTGAAAGGATTAAATGGCATAACACATGTAAAGTGCTTAGTACTAAAAAGTTTTCAATATTTAATACAATGTTTTATTTTATTTGTATTATTTACCTCTTTATGGATTTTTACCAGCTGCCACACAAAATCAAAAGGTTATTTTATGGTTTTAAATGTTTTCTTAAATAACATTTTTATGACTTAAAAAATAATTTTGTTTTGTTTGAGCACTAGTAGTTTCCCATGGAAGGTAAAATGGTAAGATTATCTTTGAACCCTATTGATGTGATAAAAATGTAGATTGTCTATTATATAACTTGGACAGCCTCATTTATCATTGCTTTATGTACTCGATGGAAGCCACTCTCCTCTTAGTGTGCTGGATTTGCCAAGCTTATTTCCAAACCTGGGTCCTTACGTTTGTCCCCTAGAGAGCATTTCTACTTTTTTTTTTTTCTATAAATTGGATCTATTTTGTTCTATGCCTTCAAGGTTAAGCTCAAGATTCATGAAGACTTCCTACTCTAGTCTATCATTTCTTCATTCCTACTTATAGTTATTTCAAAGTACTGTCTAATGCAAATAGGTTGTATGTTGCTTGTACATCCAATTAATTAGTTGTGACTGTTGAAAATACTATGTTGATTATAAGCCTCCACTCTTGGTTCAACTAAAAAAAGTGTAAAACAGACAACTGATATCACCTCTTGGTCTAGGAAGGGGTAAAGGTCTTAGGTATGTTATATATTTGTGATTCTTTCTCTTATGTGTTGAGCTTTGTATGGATCATCATGTTCCAAAATTAACTAACTGTAGAGAAAGAAAATATGCAAATAATTTAAAATTAAATTATTTTACAACATTGATTAACTTGATACAAGTTACCATTTTCTTGAAATAACAAGGCAAGATGTTAAAGCAATCAGCTACACTGAATTTTCTTCATGAGCCAGGCATGCTACACACTTTTTACTATTGTTTTATTTCATTTTGTTTCTGATAAGTGAAGCTTAATAAAATGTATGGCCAGGATTTAACAATTTATTAACTTTATTTTTATATTGATTAAAATTCAAGTTTTATCTCTGCTAGTATACCCTACTATGTTAATTTTTCACAGTGCTAGGCATACCTACAAAATTATGGATTCTGGGTGTTTGGAAGATTGAACTCTCTTGCTTCTTCCTTTACCCTGACATTCCATTTCTAAATCATATTAGTGTTTTACTTTCTTAACAATAAGAAATTTAAAGTAGAGTCTCAAATAGATTAGATGAGCTGAAGGCAATATGAAAATTAGCAATTACAAACAATTGGAGGAGCAATGAAGAAATATTCAATATCATAAATGTGACTTTGTTTTTAAGGTTAAAGGAAGAAAACCAGCTGCCCTGGGTGAACCCCAACCAACAAAGAGTTTGGTGAGAATAATTGTATAATTTTCCTTATGGTTCATCAACTTTTCACTCAACTTAATTCCTAATTTTTCATCTTGAATTGTTTCCTTCTTATAGCTGGTTTTGAAATAATTTATCATAATATTGATAAAAGGAGAAGTGAGGTGCCCCTCAAAAATTCGAGTCCTTTAAATTGCATTTTTAAACCCACTATTTTAAAAGGGAAGCTGTTAGAGCAAATGCCAAAGCATGATTTTTTTTAGAAGCAGCAACATTAAAATATTGTAGCTAGTAGGTAAAAGAAATAAATAATTTATATAGGAGAAAATAAACTAGATGAAAAATACATGAAGAAAAAAAGCCATCCCTGTTAGTTTGTAAAGAAATAAAAATTAAACAATAAGGACTTATCTTATACCTCTTTTATTATTGTAGATTGTACAGTATAATATGTAATAGCATATAAACATATATTTATACATATACTACTAGATATTATTAGATAAATTATACAATAATATGGAAAATTTTTATGAATGACTTAATAAGGCAGAATACTTAGCTGGATCTGACTAAACTTTAAAATGATATAGATATTAATTAGGTTGAGGCATGGAAAAATGAGCACACCTGGTTCATAAAAGTGATGGATTCTTCTTTTACATTTCCATTATTTGACCAATAGCTATGTGGCAACATGGAAATTCCTTATTCTTTTCAGAAAAGCAAAGTGAGCCTGTATACTCAGATTTAGGAAACTCTACGGATTCCATGCAAAGTGGAACATCTGAAATTAATACAGGAGATAAAAACAATATAAACACCCTGAAGGCTTTCAACTAAGATAATTTGGAAAGGAAATTTAGAAAAGAAAGGATGGGTGCGGTGGCTCACACCTGTAATCCCAGCACTTTGGGAGTCCGAGGTGGGCGAGTCACGAGGTGGAAAGATCAAGACCATCCTGGCCAACATGGCGAAACCCCGTCTCTACTAAAAATACAAAAGTTAGCTGGGCATGTTGCACGCATGTAGTCCCAGCTACTCAGGAGGCTGAGGCAGGAGAAACGCTTGAACCCAGGAGGCGGAGTTTGTAGTGAGCCAAGATCGTGCCACTGCACTCTAGCCTGGGGAATAGAGTGGGACTCCATCTCAAAACAAAAACCAAAAAACAAAACAAAACAAAAAAAAGACAAGAAAAGAAAACAACTATTTTCCCAGGATGCAGTGGTAAAACCAAGATTCCCTGTTTTTTACTTTTTAGTGAATGCTTATTCTCAGTGTCCGAGGAAAAGTATGAAATTTTCACATCTATATATTTCAAATCTGCTTAGGCAAGTCAACTTCAACTTGTACTTAAAAAAATTGTCCAGGACCCCTTATTGAAAATAATATGAAAAGTTTGCCTTTATATTTCCCTTTGAGATCTGTTGTTTAATCTTTGAAATGTATTCTTTAAAAAGTATGTGCTAGTGTTACTAACACATGACAAAAAGAGATCTGAATTTGTGGCCAAATTAAATATAGGACAGAGGAGCTCAAGATTCAGTTATTATATTTACTTGACATATATGGTAGTAGCTTATTTATCTTCCTGCAGATCAGTTTTTGCATCTGTGAAATGAGTTCAAATCATCAAGTTCATAAGATGATTAAGCAAATAAAATGAAGTAAATTATGTAAAACACTGAGCACAATACATGACTAAGAGAATACCCAATAACCTGTTATCTAAATTATCTAGTTACTGAATAACTAGTTGTAATAACTAGTTATAATAGTTTTTATATTGTTTGCACATCCATTTACTTAGCAGTGATTGTTGAAAACACTATGTTGATTTTAACCCTCAATTCTGGGCTCAACTGTAAAGAGTGTAAAACAAACAACTGATATTACCTCCTGGTCTAGGAAGGAGTAAAAGTCACTAGTATGCTTTATATTTGTGATTAACTAGTAGTTGTCTAAGTGAAGAATTACTCTACCCTGCAGTATTCCCATTCTCACAGGTCAGAGAACTCAGAGAAATATAACTGAGTCTATACGGAGTTACTCCTTTATATGTCTGTTCATGCCAAGTATCTCTTTCTTCCTATAGGTTGTACACGTAGCCCTTTTTAAGATTCTTGTCAGGTGCTAAAACCTAGCTTATGAGGCAGGCATCTGACATATTCCAGTGAAGTTAATTGTTGGAGTAGACCTTAGGATACAAGCTCCATCAGCTATATCCTTATTAATTATCTTTGGCAAAATAATCTGAGTATTTTCGATGTTGATTATTCTTCCCATTAAAAATACATTTTTCTACATTAAAGAAACTCAGCTGAGTAATCTACAATTACCTTTCTCATGAAATTCTAAACAGTATATTATGTCCACTGTTAAACTGTGAAACTGGCGGTCAGCTGATATAGCTCTTTGGAGAATCCTAAATCTTTAATCACACCAACTTTGAATTTTCTACGTGTCATTTATCACAAGGGTAGTTAGAAACCATCATCTTTAAAATGTCACACAAAATTCTACCTTTTCATTACACCAGTTTTTCAGCATAAAGTAATATGATGAAAAATTGAGTATTTTAAAATATATATTTTTGTAAAAATGTGAAGTTTAAACTTTTAAAACTCTATTCTCTAGGAAGAAAATAAATCTTTAAAGGAACAGAAAAAACTGAATGACTCATGTTTCCTAAAGAGACTACTACAAAAGATAAAAACTTGTTGGAATAAAATTTTGATGGGCACTAAAGAACACTGAAAAATATGGAGTGGCAATATAGAAACATGAACTTTAGTTGCAGCCTCCAAGAATCTATCTGCTTATGCAGTTTTTCAGAGTGGAATGCTTCCTAGAAGTTATTGAATGCACCATGGTCAAAACGGATTA